GCTTTTGGAGCGGCTCGATCCGCAGCCGCGACGGCACCGCTCCTCCAACCTCGGCATGGCGCGGCTCGGCGCCGTCCGCCGCAGACGGCGCCCTCGCCTCCCTCGCCTCCCTCGCCTCCGCCGGCTCCGTTGGCTCCGCCGGCTCGGCGGACGAGCCGCACTGCTCGAGATCAGCCGAGGCGCGGCTCTCGCCGCAGCCGGGCGCAGGGCCGAGTCTCCACAAGAAGACCGAGCCGCGCACGTATGCCGCGGCGAGGGTGGAGGCGTCGCGCGCGATCGAGAGCGACTGGATGGACTTGTCCCCGTCCGGGACGAGCTCCGCCGAGCACGCGTTCTGCGCGAGGTCCCACACGCGGATGTTGCCTGCGGGGAGGCGGCTGGGAGTCACGGGCAAGGGAGGTCGGGTCTCGCGCCTGTCCCGCGGCTGTCGCCGTCGCGGTCGCCAGACACAATCTCGACCTGGTTGGGGTGGAGGGCGACCGAGTTGATCGGCGAGCCGGACTCGTACTCGCGCTGGCAGCCGGCCGCGCGCAGGTCCCACAGCTTGAGCGTGCCGTCCTCCGACGCGGTGTACATCCACTTGCCGTCCGCCTCAAAGCCGACGGCCGTCACGTTGGAGGTGTGGCCGTCGTAGGTGGTGAGCGCGCTCGGCGGGCCGGAGTTGATCTCAAAGAGCCGCAGCGACGGGTTGCCCGCCGCGGCGATGCGCTGCCGGTCGGCCGTGATCTGCAGCTGGTTGACCTGCGAGTCGGGGTGCTGCAGCGTCTTGTAGCACACGCCGGTCGGCGCCTCCCAGAAGCGGATCGTGTGGTCGTAGCCGGCCGTCGCGAGAAGCACGGACTGTCCAGAGTCGGACATCCGCCCAAGCACTCGGCGGGCGGCAGCACTGCTGCAGGGTTCGCCCGACAGGGTTCGGACTTTTTGCGGGGTATGGTATGGTAGGGTCGGCGCCCTGGCGCCGCGACCATACCCCCCCACCCGCACAGGACGTCGCCTCTGGCCAGCAGGACCATACCCCCCCACCCCCCACCCCACCACACGAGCGTACAGTAACCGTCGTGTTAGGCCGTCCGGTCGTGCGGCACGTGTTCGCGCGATGCAGTCTGCGCGAGGTGACCCGCCGGCAATCGTGCTCACCCCTCAGAGCGTGTCCGCAAAGGCCGCCAGGGCCTTGCGTGCCGGCGCAGGCGCGGGCGCAGGCGCGGGCGCGGCCGGTGCGAGCGCGGGCGCGGGCGCGGGCGCGGTCTCCGCCGGCGCCGCCTCCGCCATGGTCACCTCGGGCGCGGGCGCGGGCGCGGTCTCCGCCGGCGCCGCCTCCGCCATGGTCACCTCCGCTGGAACGGCCTCCGCCTCCGCCGCCTCCGCTGGCGCCACCTCCGCCTCCGCCATGGTCACCTCCGGCGTCTCCGCCGCCTCCGCCTCCACCTAGCGGCCCGCCATCCGCGCAGGCGCCGTCGAATCGGCGCACGTGGGCGTCGCTCACCATGATGCCCAGGTCCCGCGCGGCATCTTCGCCCGCCGCCTTCACGATGATGAACTCGACAGGCACACGCACGCTCGCCGGCAGCGCGCTGATGAGCCGGCGGTACTTGGTGGCGTCGAATGGCGCGCCGCGCTGCTGAGCCGCCGCCTCGCGCGCCTCGCGCAGCTCCATGATCAGATCAATGTGCTCGAGCAGCTCGGCGTCACTCAGCGCTGGAATGATGGGCATCAGCAGGCTCTCCCGCACGCCGCCCTCCGCGCCATAGCTGGCCAAAGGCACGCGCACGAGCGGTACGCGCGCCAACAGCTCATGCCCCGCGCGCTTCGCGAGCCACGACGGCGATTTGAATCGAAAGGCAGAATCAACGACATCGGCATCGAGCGCCGCGTTGAGGTCCGAGAAGAAGGTGGAGCGCGCGTGGACGAGACTCGCGCAGGCCTCGCGATAGAGCATCGGTCCGTCCTGCAGGACCATCGTGGCGACAGTTTTCAGCGCCTTCAGCTTGCTGAGATCGTGGTCGTCGCCACGGAAAGCGTCGCTTGTCGGAAGCCTCCCGTCCATCATGCGGACGGCATGCGGTGCAATCGCAGCGTCGAGCTGTGCGATGCAAGACGCAAGCGTACCAGCGCAGCAGCTGCGCACAGCGGCGCGCTCGGCGTCGTCGGGCAGCGAGCTGTCCAGGAGCCGAAGTTGAGGCGGCGTCGCGGCGAGAAGGCCCGCGACAGTATCGACGCGGCCGGGGCCGCCGTGAGTCGGCATCGTGTCCGCGGCTGTGTACCGCGGGCTGTGTTGGGTTCCGAACCCTGTTGGAAACGTGGCCCTCCCAGCGATTGACCATACCCCCCCCACCCGTCGAGGAGGCCGCCTCCCGGCGGCCAGGACCCAAACCCCCCCCCCCCTTTTTGGGGCCCGAACCCTACCATTACCTTTAACCCCCCAAAAAAGATTGGGAAACCCCAGCCCCCCCCGGGGGGGGGGGGGGCCGGAAAAAAAAAATTT